GTAGTCGTACTACTAGTAGTAGTAGTAGTAGTAGTAGTAGTAACAGTAGTAGTAGTAGTAGTAGTAGTAGTACACAAGCCGTGTTGAAAATGGATGTAACCTCCATTTTGGGGGAGTGTTCAGGCGCAGAAACTGGCTTGTGCATCTGTGCTGCATGAACCACTGCCGTGTTGAAGCCATGCTGGCTGGAAATGCTAGGAGTCGGTGGTCTTTAGGCCGAGGGACTCCAGACTTACTCGAAATAGATTTCTCACAAATCAAGAAATGTACCGATAACAACTCTGAAGGCTTTGCAATCTGAGTATGTGTACAGCTCAGGAAGCTTTCTGACGTGTTGTTGTTTCGCTGTGTGGAAAACAAGGGTTAAGACCGATCGAATGCTCTGACCTGCTTCGGCACTTTGGATATTCGCAATTGACGATCCACTGCCTGCTGCAAGTTGGCCAAGTCAATATCGCCCACGGCACGTTGACCATAAAAGCAAAAGGCTGGAAAGGATCCAGCCTGGGTGACGCAAGGCATGTGAGGTCTGATGAGCATCTCACGAAGGATGCTGGTGCTGGCGGGGACGTCAGTCCCATGCACGAACACATAGCTGTGTGCATTGTCGTGGGGCTGGCCTTCTTCCGCACCAAGAACAGGAACACCAGGAGTGTTCAGAGGGAAGCAGATGCAGTCCCACATGTCTGCAACTTGACAACTGGTAATGTTCTGAAGCTGTAGTGAGTTGTTGGCTGTGCCCGATGCCAAGAACATGTGGGCAAGTTCGGTGCACAAGGGCATCGGGATGCTGGCGATTGGCAAGCTCATCCTGCCCACTGAGGTCCACGGGGGGAGGCCTCACCTTCTCCTGATCAATGAGCTCGACATAAGCCTTGACCGTATTTGAGTATCGCGCCATGACTGCCAGCTGGGGATGTCATCGGCAGGGTTCCTAAAAGTCCTCGGCTGCGGTGGACATGGAGGCGGGGGCTTAGTTCCGTCAAAAACAGCAGGATGCCTGGGCATGTTGGCTTGCTGTTGGCGACCCGCCCCTCCTGCTTGGTGATGTCTGGGCGCGTGCCACCGGGTTGAGTGAGCGTCGTCTTACTGCGAATTGTATGCCTGGCCAGAGGTGCCAGGGCCATACTGCAGGGTATTGGCCTAATTTCCTCCAAAATCTGCATGCGGGAAGCCAGGGCCCGACACCAAAACAGTTGGAGCGTGTGACGGGCTTGCATTCCTCTCTCGGCGGGCAGGACTGCGCGTTGTGCTGTCACGGCGATCTCTGGGCCGCCTGTAGTCGCGCCTTTTTGTCTATATCTCTGGAATCAAGACTTCTGCAGGCAGTGCGGGCATCGAGCGCGTCGATGCCCGCGACTGTCTGGGCGGCGCTCAGCACTTCTGGCACGTCGGCGACGCTGCTGAGAAACTCTGTGCCGCCGGCGCCTGTCATGGCGGCTTGATCGGCGTGCACGAGTGGAATGCTGCCGAGAATTGTGTCTGCGCCGGGAGTCGCGCTCCCGCCCTGCACTCCTATGATGTTGCTGTTCATAGCCAAACCCAGGCATGCTATGCGGCACTGCTGCAAAATGTGGCATGCTGCGCATTGGTACCATATGGTACATCGGCCCATACGGACCCGGAGGTGAAGGCATCGCAGGGTTGCATGGTCCCATGCACGCGCCGGTGCGCGAATCGTACAGCATCCTAAAACAAGTAGAACAGGGCAATCAAAGCTTGAGAAGAGACAAGCTACCAAATTGGACCTGGCAGCCTCAGTCCTACGTCGCCTTGCGCAACCCTGAAAACAAACCCAACCCTGACCCCTTCATGCAGACATTTGTGCAAATCACCAGCGGACCCTCACTGCCTTAAACCTGCCTGAGTCGCGTCACTCGAACCCCTGGAAAGAAATCCCGGCAAACACTTGCTCTGGCTGCAGGCGTCGACCCTTGCACCAGTTCCGGAATGATCAAAATGATGGCATCGGAAAGCTTCGGCAAATGATCCTAAAACACATGATGGTGATTGACACAATGACGTTGAAGTTTGCTCGTCAGCGTCCCACATCCGCTATTTCGGGCTCTGGCGTTGCCGGCTGTGATCTGGCCCCATGTCGGGTATGCCACCAGAACAGACACACTCAGGCTTGGCAAGAACTGATGCGATGAACCCTGGACTGCATGATGCGAAATCAGATTGTAGCAACCATGCAAGAATGCACTCTAGGGTTCGTTACTCCAGTGCCTCAGGGGGCCCACTGGCTAATCGAATGCAGGTACACAATCCGGCGTCCCAGATCGCTTCACAGCACCCATCACCGTCTTTGTTGGGCAGTGGATGATAGAAGGCTCACTGCCCCTCTGCTGAAAAATGAGGTGTCATCCAACGCGCGCCATGTTCAGGCGTGTATACACACACGCAGACAGAGAGGCCCGTGACCTCGCCAGTTCGCAACTTGGCCAGCTCGCGGCGAAGCATGGTCTCCTCATCCCACCTGAAGGGCGATCGGCGATCCCTTTAAGAGCAGGGCGTGAAAGCTCTCCAAACGTTCGCAGCGCCCTTCATAGCTTCGGGAAAAGAGGGCCGAGATCGGCCGAGGCCCCCGCTCTTCGTCGGGAACTTGGGCCTGCAACATCTCCTCAGCCGAGAGACAGAGAGGTGCGAGGTGTGAGGTGCGAGCCTACGCTTATGACGTGCCCCGACCTCACCAGCACGTTCAAAGCTGTAAGTAGTAAGAACCATCTCCCAGCTCCCAAATGACCGGTGGGGTCCTCAGCAGTGGTTGTCACGACCTCGGTGTAACACACTTGCACACCTGAAAGCTGGCGCAAACGCGAAACGCCAAGCGGGGCAATCGGATGAAACCACTTGCAGACTTGGCCACGCTTCATCCCCCACAGCACACACTTGACAAACTTGACACACTTGAACCGTGCCACGTGCTACTTGAACACCAAACCTAAACTCTACTAAATCTTGAGTGCTAAACTCTAAACCCTGCGCCCTAAACTCAAACCCTAAGCCCTAAACCCTAAACCCCAAACCAACCCCCAAACCATCACAAACCCAAACCCTAAACTCTCAACCCCTAATCCAAGTGCGTCCGGAGAAGTGTGCCCTGTCGGGGGCGCAAGCGCGGTCCACTTGCGAGCGCTTAGCGTTATGCATCTTTCCAACAGTCAAGTGCGGTCAGGTGGTTTCGTCCACTTGCGAACGCTTAGCGACATGCGTCTTTGCAAGCGTGCAAGTGTGCACAAGTGTGCGATTTAACTTAGCAGTTCCCGTTTGCGCGGGGCAATGTACAACAAGTTTACAACCTCAAATACTACTCAGGCTTTCGAAACTTCAAGTGGGCCAGTGTTGTCGGAGGGCATCATGCTCACACAAAACCTTGTCTTCTGCATCTGGGCCCTCTGCACCCAGCTCGGCACCGGTAGGAGACGTAGCACTGGCACCTGCGCAAGGCCATACTGTCCCAGCAGTCTTGTGCCGTCCTTGCCATAAAGCGTTCCTGCTCTGGATCTCCGAGGGCAAGCATCTGTCGTGCTCGTCCGTACACCACGTGAATTGAGGCTGGAGAGCGAAGCAAGCAGATTCTGCTACCAGTCGCGCCCTCATCACTTCTGCAGACCTCTCACTGTAAAGCCAGAGCCTAAAGCGGGGCTGTCACCGCCGTCTTCAGCCCCCTCCACCTGCACGGGAGCTCTGTTTCAGGAAGAGTTGCGGGGGATGAGAAGGCATGTCAGAGTGAGTGTGTTCGCCTCGGAACTGGCTCTTTTACGCTGTTCTGACATGTTTTTCCTCTGCCGCTGCCGCTTCCTCTGCCACCGAGGGGGCGGGGAGCGCGGGGAGCTCGGGGACCCAAGGTCCGAGCGATCAGAAGCCGCAGCCGCAGCGATCAGCGACCCAAGGACAAAGGGTTGAGCCGGCAAGGCTCGTCCCTGGCGTCAGAACGCTCCACGCGGAGGACACCGTCGAGATCGGGGTCGACGAAAAGCACGGGGCAACTAGTACGTGCTGCCTTGGGAGCAGTCTCAGATCCACGGCCGAGCTCTCAAGGAAGCGCGTTGCAAACCGTTCTTGAAGCCGGTGCTACGGTGCTGTCCTTAATGCATGTCCAAAAAGACGTCGCTTTTTACACTCAGGAGACGGTAATCACTGTGTCCAGCGTTCCTCAGGCTTAACAAGCCACGTGAAAGTCATGAAAGAATTAACTATTCTGCCGTCTCACCATGTCTCATGGCTCATGGCATCAGTATGCACCACTCACGGTAGCATCGGATCCTCGTACAGCACACCCCGCATAGCCCAACTGCATTGAACAACATCTAGATTCTAGATACAACGATCCTCGCAGCATTTCAAGAAACGGGAGGTCGTCTGGTGTCCATGGCTCGGCAGCCCCTTACGTCGGCGTCCAACCAACCAGAGGTCAGCGGCCATTGCTCAGAGGGGGCTCTTCGAGGTGCCGAAACGTGCCCCGGAATCCTGGGTCGCTTCCTGACTTCACGCGCTTCGGGCTCTCTCGCAGGGGCCGCCGCATAAGCGCAGGATGCCGCACGTGCATCCTTCTACCCTTCAGCACGCCCAGGACACCTCGGAAGGCTGCGTCTTTGTTGGCGAGTACCTGGGAAGGCAGTCGTCACAACTCAACGCAACCACAGCGGCCCGAACACCAAGGAGACGCTCTGTTGCAAAAGCCACTGACACCAACACCCTTTTGCACGAAAAACTTCTGTGCAGCGGTATGCAGGAGCGGACATAGCCCGGATCTGGACCAAGTGGGCTGGCACCGTCTCCACCTGGCGTTGGTCCGCCTCCTTGCAGCTGCGGCAGAAGTCTTGCACGACGACACACTTAGGTGATTTGGTGTGAAGGAGTCATCTTGTGAGTTCAAGTTCAATAGCATCTCCATCAGGAGAAACCCGGGTGCACGATGGTGCACGTTTCGTGCCTCGTCTTGAAGGGCAGCAGTCCCGGACCTCGGCAGTGCGGCCCAAAGCAGCACAGATCTCTGCTTCAACACTTTTGCTCGCGAAAGATGGGGAGCCTCAAACAGCGCTGCACAGAAAACACCGTGAGCCCGGCTGTGGGCCCGATGAAGGTAACTGTGCACCCGGTTGGTTCGCCTCTGCTTTCGGAACAAGCACTGGCTTAACGGTTTCAAGGGACACATCGGGTCAGTTCGACTCGGGAGATCTTGGAGTAATCTTATCGAGTCCACATGTTAAACGACTATTTGAGTGAAACATGGCGCACACCAGTCGCTGTGCTCGCAACTTCCCCGCCCCGAGTTTGTTTGTGCATTGAACTACCAGGCATGGCTTGGCAACTTGATTGGGATTTGGCACTCTGAAGTCTGTCTCTATCCTTCACACAGGCACTGCGCTGGGGGGTTACTTGGCCCAAGATCCAACCTCGCGGCCCCGAAGGCAATAGCTGGAGAGCTCCTTGTCACATCAGTGCATTCGGATGTTTCAGACAAGAGGGCTCCAGGATCACAAGTGCAGCTATGCAGCTATTCCCCCTTCCCCTCTCACCGTCCCTTAGCTGTGCCGTCCTCATGGTCCAAGTTGAAGATCTCGGAATCGAAAAGGCGAACCGACCTGCTGGGCTCATGTCCAAGACCCCCGCAAAGCTCACCCCCGCACCACGGCTCCGATTGCTGGTGCATCACTGGCGAAAGCACAGGAGGACATCCTCTGCAAAACTCTCGGTAGACCTAGTGCCCCGCTTTCCTGCCTTCTACCTGGCTCAACCTGTCCAGCTGACGTGCTATGAGCCCACTGCCTGCTAAGCGATCGGCTGGTCTGCCTGAGCTATAAGCTGGAGCTGTGGCTCCGCGGACTTGAACCGAATGTGTCTTGGACACGACAGCCTTCGAATTCTTTAGCACAAGATCTGGCCAACACAGTAAGTGCCGAATCCATTCGAGTGAAATCTGAAGACCTCACCTGAAACCCTGCATCACGCTGCCCTGAGAGGCAGGCGGGCTCCGGCTTGACTGGATATATTGAGTGGACAGCTGTGAGATGGTGGGCACCTGCGACCTCTCAGGGAGAGGGCATACGTCCGCACGAGGCACGAGGACCTCCACGAAGCTCCGCGAAGTGCGAAACTGCGGCTGGCCTCTCTACTCGTGCCGACATCGGCGCTGCGGGCCTCAGAGCCAAGGCTTCGGCTTTGTGGCGCGCACGCTGTACTTGGCATATGCTCACAGGCTTGAGCACGAAAACTGCTCTCTTCGAGTACCACTTGTCTGACCTCAACATGCATAACTTGTACTGGATTTGAGAGCACGTGTCGCAACTATCCGTGCGATTTTGATGATACAGTCACAAAGGGGGCGCGGCAGCATTGGCACCGCTGAAAGCGCTGACCTCGACGTTTGAACTACCCTGCAGCATCCGGGCTCTGAATCCCTGCTTCTTTCAACCCAGAGCTTGACCTCAAACGGTCACCACTTCGAACGCTTAGGTTTGGAAACTCTTTCCGGGCGCTTCAGCCAAAGTCAACGGATTTGGTGACGGCACGGGCTGTGTGCAAAAGATCGTCTGAGGTTCCAGGCCCTGTTGCCCTGCCTCAGCGAGGGTAGCACCGCACAGGGGCAGATTACACATCAAGTTCCTAAACTCCATGGGCGGCATGCAGCTTCTGTCTGCACAGCCTGTCCTGCAAAACCAAGCACGTAAAACTGAAAGACGAGGGCACCCAAGATTGATCGTCGGTCTGTACCCTTTGCGGAGCTACTCTTGCCGGAAGTCTGGAACGTTATGCATGCTGCGACATGCTAGTATCACCACACCAACCCTTGAAACATGCAAGCCCGAGCGGCGCGAATCCCAAGTTTTGAGCTTCGCCGAAGGCTGTAGCTTTGCTAAACGCAATGTGCTGTACCTGAGCACAAGACTGCTGTGTGACACCTGTGTGCAGTATCTACGGGGTCCAAGCACAGTGAGCTTCGACGAAGTCAAAAGGATTTAGAATTTAGACACACAGTCGCGACGGCAATGGCCTTCCGCCTTCGTGGCCCCACCCTTGCACCGCAATGCATGTCGAGCCTGGGGAGTAGTTGCCTTGGACCGTTCGCTACCGCTTTCGACACTCCTTCGGATGTGCGAATCTCGAGAGCCGTGATTGCCGCTGATCTCCGCTCATGTGCGCGGATCAACACCATAGACGGATTCGTCCAAAACGGCCATCGAGGCGACGAAGGAACAAGCTGACGTGTGACATACCAGACCTTCAAAGCGATCAAAAGTGCAGCGGAGAGACTCCGCACTCGGCTGCAGCTGAGGTAGCCTAGCAAAGCTCGGGCGGGCTCTAGTGGAGTCAGCACAGCAGAGCTTTCTCCTCCAAGGTCTCGGATTCCAGTCGGAAAACCATGCCCATTCCCCCTAGAATCAGAACCAAAACCCCAATCTCAAAAGCACTGCAGCGCTAGCCTGATCACTTTGGTGGAACCCATTGTGGCACCTGCGAGCTTTGTAGTGGCGGCTGCACTGCACCCTTCTACCACATTGCTCTTGGCGGCTTATGCCAAACAAAACCGTGAAAAGAATCATCTGCCTGGGTTCGACGGCATCGTGGAATCCAGCAGGCCTCTCAATTTAAGCATCAAGTCGAGTTACCGATGCATCGTTCGTACGACGTACGAGCTGAGTCGCAGTGCTGCTTGTGATGAGCTACTTTGACACAAAACCTCACACAGACACGTGCACGAAACCATCTGGAACATCAAACCGCTGGGAGGGGACATGGCCTTGTCCTCCTGTCCACACTATTTCGTAAGCCATACACCAAAGTCCACACCCAGCATCCTAAAACGAAAACAACGAAACGTGTCGACGATGTCGATCAAACACCTCACGCTCAGGATTTCAGGGTTCCGGCCAGCTGCCCCTGCGGCCGCCTAGCTGGAATGCTGAACATCGTCGCAAAGCTTCGGTTCAAGGATGTTGACGGTTGTACTGCCACTATCTTGCATGGGTAGCAGGATCCCTGCACGAAAACCGACGATCGCTCATTGAACACACAATTGCTGTGGTCCTGGCATGTCCACCCCGCATGCATCCCCCCACCGTTGCGGACACTCAAAGGACCTTGGGCGGACTCGAAGATGGCATGCCGCCGTGCTCCGATCGCGACCTGAACGCGATGGAACTTCTAGCATTTCTTTTCGATGGCCCATGACACTCATGTGATGCTAATATGTGAGTCGAAACCAGAACACTGTAGCAAAACATGCGTTCTCCAAATCATGTACCGCGGCCCTTGCGGTCACGCCGCGCCGTATCGAACTTTCACGCCATGGCTTGTCCAAACATATTTCGACCAAGTCTTGCCAATTCTATCTAAAGTGGCCTTGACAACTCCATGACTGTTTCAACTACTCAGAAAGTGATGGCTGGGCAATGTTGCGTTCAACTATACATGCACCCTGTGGCTACAGTCGTGCACTTAGATCATGCCGACTTTCTTTGGCATTGTGACCGCACCTATTTGGGGAAACTGTAGAACACGAAACTGCATCACTCCGTTTGAAAGGCTGCAGTCATCGCACTCATGCATTGTTCTTGCAACACACCGCTAGCCGTTAGCGCCTTCTAACACGCCCCTTCTGCTCCATCCTCCATACGGGGGATGATAATTTTTCTCACAAACCAGGAAAACGAGACTTCACGGTGTGCACCCAGTGGTCTGTGTAGCACCGATTGCAAGTTAGTTAAACCGTGGGACACTAGGCAAACACATTCTTTTTTATTTCCCTTTATGTGTCAACCGGGTGTATCATCAATGTATATATACAAATATAAAAAATTCAGACATATATCTCAACTCATCACTCCAATTATATTTCATATGAAATGATGAGACTCTCCGCTCGCGCGCAATGTTTTCCTTTGGAAAGGGGGCATCTCAGTGCCTTGCCCTGGGCTCGGGCCCAGGGCGCTTTGCTCTTGTCGTTCACAATCATTCAAGCCACAATGTTTGTACAAGATGGAAAATGTAGTGCAACTTGCACGTGCACAACTTGTGCACCGCACCACTTGTGCAACACCAGGGCGGGTTGGGCGGGACAAAACTTTTTCCGGTCTTAGCCGGAAGTTTTTTCTTACCCTCCCACCACGCTGTGGAGCCAACTCACCGAATACAAGGAGTTCAATACTGGCTCATGACATGTACTGACATGTGCTTCTGTTTAAAAATCACTGAGACCGAACACCCTGAATTTTTGGTTTTGCTTAACAAAACAAAAATTCTTGACACAGGGAAAATAAAACTTCATCCACTGTTCGTGGAGTTGCGTCTTATTTCCCTTTATGTGTCAACCGGGTGTATCATCAATGTATATATACAAATATAAAAAATTCAGGCATATATCTCAACTCATCACTCCAATTATATTTCATATGAAATGATGAGACTCTCCGCTCGCGCGCAATGTTTTCCTTTGGAAAGGGGGCATCTCAGTGCCTTGCCCTGCCCCTGTACTTGCACGAGTGCCCTACCTACTTCTGCCGAGCCACTTGCCTCTTGGCCTGAGCCTGCGCGCCTCGAACGACTGAAAGGAGACTACTTGTCCCCACTTCTGTCCTCAGCCCACTTGGCAGCAACCACTCCCCTCTCGAGAGAGGGTCCGAAGGATTGCTCAAGGATGGAACACGATCGTACCAAATCATGAAACCAAGAGCCTCCTCGATCTCGCATGCCTCACTGATGACGTATGAAGCAAACTGGCTCACAGACCAGCACTTGACGAAGGCACCGTGGACACCCTCGTTGTCCGTGAACAAGACGACGCTTTTTCCTTTCAACACCTTGAAGAAAAACTTAAGTGCGATGTAGACAGCCAAAGCTTCAAGCTCAAAGATCACTGTTTCTTTGCTTCGCTCAAAGCTGCTCATGATTTCCTTAACGAACGCGCCATCAAGGTTCTCACCAAACCATTGAAGCACATTCCCTTTGCAATCATAAGCAACACCGCCTATTCCGCACAAGTCTCCGGCCTCGCTGAAAGAAGCATCAACGTAGACATGCACCGTATTGCCCAACTGCCTGCTAAGCACACGGCTCCGGCTCGAAGACAACATGTCCACGAGGAAGCGGCACGCCTTTAGTGCAAGACTCCCAAGGTGACCTCCAGTGTGCTTGCTCAACTGGTGCAAGGCAACCTTGGCTCGCCTGCCGAAAAGCTGGCCTGACGCAAACTGCAGCCTACCCCTTAGTTTCTCGCACTCTCCATGCGAGAGCTTCCATCTGGCAAGCACTGCAGAAAGGCTGTCCACCAACTCTTTGACGCGCTTAGCAGTATTTTCCATTTTGAAGATTCCTAGTCGGGCCTCGGAAGTGTCTATCCTAATCCCCAACACCTTGCAGCAGACATCGTAAGGAAGAAGTTTTTCACTTGACAGGTTCCAACCTAAAACCCGAAAAAGTGTACTTATTACTACCTCCACGTGTCGGCTCTCTTCCGGCTTGCATGCGGACAAGAAATCATCAAAGTAAAAACTCCAGACCAAAGACAGCAGGCGGACGCCTACCTAAGCGCCAGATGCCGAACGCGCACCTGATGAAGGCTGTGACGGAAGCCTTCGCCCCGAAGGGCATGACACGTTGCTTGTAGATGACATGCTTACGGGTCCTCGGACAAAAGATTACGAAGAAACTGTCCTTCTCGAAACTTTTATCACTGAGCGGCAGCTGTTTGTAGGCTGCGCTAAGATCCCAGCACTTGCACACAAGGCCTTGACGCAGGGACTTGAGTGGCGCCAGATGAAGCCACACGCACAGCATCCCGGCCACAACATCCAACGTGTGTACTGGCACCTGTTCACTCTGCGACACTACAGCATTCACAAGTGAGCTTAGGTAATTGTCGATAGGTCGAATCTTCGGGCCATCATCGGTCTCCCCTTGCACGACGCCGAAGCGGTGTGTGACAGTACCATCCGCAGGAATGGCACTCTCACTTATCGGCCCTTCGACAAAGCCTTTCTCGACTTCTTTCAAGGTTGCAGACAGCACTCCCTGATCTACGACATCATCCCCGGAACTTTTGACGGCACTTAAAACCTGACCCCTAACTAAGTTCGCACTTTTCCTAAGGGTCTCCTCGGCCATGGCCGCAGGACGGTACTTGTCCCTGAAGACATTGGACCTAGGCAGCGGTCCTGTCAAGTCGAACCCCGAAGATAGATCGGAGATCAAGTCCTTGTCCTCATGACCCACACTCTCCAACATCTCTTTCATCAAAAGCAACCTCTTCGACTGCAGGACCTGCTTTCGATGGCGACTGAAGGAATCTTTAAGCTGGCTTTCTTCGGCACTAAGTTCATCGGCACGGCTCACCCACCTGCGAAGGGTTTCGGTGCGCTCCTGACCCAGAGAGGCGGAGTCCTTCTCGTGGTTTACGCGCACCGCCTGGACCAGCTCACCAGGCAACAAACTTTCCAAGTCATGGATGCTGCACCGACAAAGCTTTTGCTATGAACTCGTCAGGGCTGTGGTAGACCCCAAAGACCAGGCTCCCTTTGCAGTGCAAGTTCGGGCTGGCCGTCACGCTCCGATCAACTCTAGCACTATTTAAAGGAAACCCCACACGCTGCAGGAAGTCATGATCCTCACGCCCGAGCTTGGTCACACCGGCCGGTGTGTAGGCAACAATGACACCTCGGGTGCCCCTCCACTGCTGCGTAGCGTGCCACTTGCGCGGATCGAAGATTAAGGGCTTGCCAGGCAACAGTTCATGATACAAGCCCACTCTGCGTCCTGTGCCGACATCCACGGAAACAGAGCCCTTGGCATCCTCTATCCACAGCCCTCCTCCGGTCAGGACTTGAGTAGCCATCACAAGGTTTTTCGTTCCAGGCTCGTTATGAACATCACGATGAGCCCCGGCCTTGGTATTCAGCAGGTAGCCAACCGCTGAAAAGGCAAACCCCGGCGCACGATCCCGAACGTACTTGCACAGCACAGCAGTGCACCAAGGCATGTTCTTAGTGAGAATTTTGCAACCTGTCATAGGCCCATGGGCATAGGCTCCACACAAGAATTGGTTTGTGCTGTCGCCACTTGCACCGCGAGCACGAGTTTGCTGTTTGCGTGGCAGCAGCTCAAGAAATGCCTGCATGTCTTCGTCCTTGATCGGTTGGTTCTTCAAGAACATCTGATAGGCATGTTTCTCAGCCAAATGCACCTCATCAGCAGGCACAGGCAAAGATGGCAAGCCGCCAACATGGGCGTCGGCATTGACATCGGCTGACACATTCTTGGCACTTCCGGCTGAAGCATCCTCTGCACCTTCCCCTGTTACGGTTTGGATGCGCAAGACCTTGGAGCCTGACGGCACAGAGGTGACGTAGCATGGATCGACCGTGGACGTGGCAGGCAACGTCCAGTCCTTCTGCAATTTGCCACCCCGCTGCAAGCTTTGCACAAAGTCGGCAGGGAAGGCTCCCGTGGCCGTGACCACATATTTGAACTCAGGCACTAAAGGCAGCACCCTCTTATTGCTTTGCCACCCTGCTGCAGCTCTGGCTGCTGCAACGTTTGTTGTGGCTTCACCAAGGTTTCGCGGCAGAGGCTTGGCTCCCATGTCGAGCAGCTGATCTTGCAAGAGTTGAGCCATCGTTTGGCACAAGTTCCACGGGAAGTCCAAGTCGCGATCGAAGCTATTTTTGAAACCTTGCGCCCAAAACTTGTGCACATGTCCGCCTGAGCATGGGCGATGCAACTCCAAGAATTTTGGCACGGTATGCACCATTCTCATGGCTTTCTTGAAGGGTGATCCGTAGCTACACAGGTGGTACCTAGTGACCTAGTGCAAAAGAGTGGCACTTGTTGCAGCAACAGGCGCATGGGCTTGGTAGCCCACACAAAGCTGGCATCCGGGTTTGCCAGACTCATGAGAATGCCACGCTGAAAACATGCTTTGCAAGCTGCAGCTACGGCTTCAAGATATGCATTTGCCTCGTTGATCCGAACCTGGTCAAGTTGCTTCAGGCCTTGAACTCCATCAGGACAGGCGTCTGTTCTAAGCACAGCAGGGGCCCCTGCATATTGGCGCAAGCGGGCACGGCTGGTAGTGTTACAGGGCGGCGAAAAATGAACATAAAACAGATTT